ATAGCAGAGAGAAGCACTTGCCTTGCAAAAATAAAATACATAAAATTTACAATGACTTTGCCAGGTGTGGTGGCTCACACCTGTAATCCTGGCACTTTGGGAGGCTGAGGCGGGTGGATCACCAGGTCAGGAGATTGGGAACATCCTGGCCAACATCGTGAAACTTCATCTCTACTAAAAACACAAAAATTAGCTGGGTATGGTGTTACACACCTGTAGTCCCAGCTATTCAGGAGGCTGAGGCAGGAGAATCACTTGAACACAGGAGGTAGAGATTGCAGTGAGCTGAGATTGAGCCACTGCACTCAAGTTTGGCAACAGAGTGAGAGTCCATCTTAAAAAAAAATTACAACTTAACAACTTTGCCAATCTAACGTATGACCTCAGATGGTAGTGGTTAAATTAAGAGCCAATCAGCCACTTTCAAAACATGTTTTTCAAAATGAAATTTTAAAGGCAGTGTCATTGTTTATCTCTACTACTGCTCATAGGTTTAGTTGTGGTCCTGCTGTGGCATTTGTTAGAAAATTTCCTTGAGTTGTTTTAAATGGTCTTTTGAAAGCCAAACGCTGCAATCCTATAATCATTACAATTGGGGACAAAAGATACATTTCTAGGTTTTATTATAACTCAAAATCTTAGTGACGGTAGGATTATTTATCCCTATTTATTTTTTCTAATATATTTAAAGCACAGATAATTGTGTTTAATCAGTTGTCTTTTATGCTGAATCATTTGACCATGTGAGGAAAGCAAATATTTGGACTTTTACCCCATCTTGACCAGAGGGATCAGTAAAAACCTGGAATGAAGAATTTCTTCATGTGCACACCTCTTTTTCTTGTGTGCAGTGCCCTTCATTCACACTTCTGTGCATTCACACATTTGTGATTCCACTTTTTTGTATTAATTTAGAATAATTTATTAATTCCACAGGCAAGTTAATAAAATGCCATTGGGAATTTGTGGGTCAAGATGGCCAGAGGCAGATCTATGTTATTTCTAGTTAAAGAATTACAAGCTTGCTTTGCTTATTGTACACTGAAGTTTATACCCCGAACTAAGCTATATTAAATGTTGGTGCAGCGAACTAGAAATGAAGCGGTAACAGGAGGCCTGAGGTAAAGACAATCTGAGAGCACTGTGAAACCGTGGAACACTGCAGGGTGGTTGTAGAGCAGGAAATACTGCTTTGGTCCCACAGATGCCTTCTCAACATGGAGGCTGCATAAGGGTCTCATAAAGAGGACTTGCATAAGATCTCTCAGAAGGACGGCAACCTCTGCTCACAAGATCCAGGAGGGTCTTTGCAAAAGGGAGCTTGCAAGAAGAAAAAGCTTTGCAGGGCAGAGATTACTGGAATGCCACAGGTTCTGCCTAGGTTCTCAGAATATGGAGTAATCTTGATTGCTCTGTGTCCAAAATGCTCGAGAAATAAAAGCCCCATGATGCATTAGGTGTGATCAGACCTGGCGGCGCCTTATCTGCTATGCTTCTGATGCATTAAAAGGCACTTAATCCTTGTATAGATAAGTTTTACATGCATTTTCTCAAAATTCGTTACTTGATGCATTTATTCTTTCTAAACCCTTGTCAAATGCCATTCTTTAAACCTCATATTTTATTAAGTTGATTTCATTTATTAATTAAATCAAATGCCATTGAAGTTTATAGCAAAAGGCATCAAAGAAGGCAAATGTTTCTATCTGTTCTAGAATTAATGGGGCAGAGAGATGGGAAGGAAAGAGGGACAAGAGGCCTCACAGAGGTAGACCAGATTTAATGACACCTGCCTCCCTGGTTAGAAACTAACTTCCAGGATTCAGGATTCAAGATTCAGGAGTAAAGTGTCCCAATATTTATAAGATATCCCTGTCTCTTTTGTATTCAGTGCTCATTTGGCCAGGGCTAAGACCTTCACACACTTTGCCTTAAGGATCCAAGCTTAGAATTTGGTTGCCTCTAGGACATTTCATGAAAAAAAAAAAAAAGCCTAACAGGCATAGACAAAGAATCTAGAGGTCACCAGCCACCTTTCCATGGAACTCTGTTCAAGGCACCTCCTTGTGCTCTGTTACTTATGTTGGCCACGTCCTCAGGAATTTAGAGAAGTGGCCAATGAATTTAGGAAATGAGGGAAGGCCACTGGGTAGTCAGAGATTTTGAATCCCTGTGTCCTTTCCCTCCATCTCAACCAGAGACCACTTGTGGACACCCAAGAAAAGAAGACATGAATGTCACAGGTGAATCCAGTCCCGTGGATCATTGTGGTCAGGGGATGGACGCCAAGTGGCCCAACAGAAATAAAGTCTATGAGGCCTTGGTCACCCCAAAGCTCTTCCCCATTAGAAGCTGCCTCTCACTGCAATCAGGGACCCCAGGAGCTGGATATGGCATTCTTTGTCATGTCTGATGAGGAACTGGAAAGGTCCCAGAGCATATAGACCTTGATCGAATTGGAGCCAGAGTGGAGTCAGGCAAAACTCTGCATTGGGCTGGGTCATATGTTTGTTTCAATTTTCTAGGGTGGCCATAACAAAGTACCACACATTTCGTGACTTAAACAAAAGAAATTCATTGTCTCACAGTTCTGGAGGCTTAAAGTTTAAGATCATGCTGTTGGCAGTGCTAATTGCTTCTGAGACTTCTTTCCTTGGCTTGTAGATGTGTTCTCTCTATGTCTTCACATGGTCATTTCTCTGTATCTGTCTGTATCCTAATCTTCTCTCTTTTTTTCTTCTTGAGATGGAGTCTCGCTCTGTTGCCCAGGCTGGAGTGCAGTGGTGTGATCTTGGCTCACTGCAACCTCTGCCGCCCAGGTTAAAGCCATTCTCCTGCCTCAGCCTTCCGAGCAGCTGGGATTACAGGTGCCTGCCACCTTGCCCGGCTAACTTTTGTAGTTTTAGTAGAGATGAGGTTTCATCTCTTGGCCAGGTTGGTCTTGAACTCCGGACCTCATGATCCACCTGCCTCAGCCTCCCAAAGTGCTGGGATTACAGGCATGAGCCACCGCACCCAGCCCAATCTTCTCTTTTTATAAGGACACTAGTCACATTGAATTAGGGCACATTCATATGACCTCATTTTACCTTATTTACCTCCATAAAGACCTCTCCAAATACAGTCACTTTCTCAGTTACTGTGGGTTAGAACATCAACATGTAAAGTTGGAGGATACAATTTGGCCCATAACAGTCTAGATTATCCTTGAAATTGTATTTTCTAAAGAATAAAATACAGTAAATCTCTTTGGCTTGACTATGTCTCTTGATACTCTGAAATTTTTTTTTCTTGCAATGAGAACCAAAAAACAGAGAACCAAAATGTTGCTGTCACCCAGCAGGTGAGCCATCTGTAACTCTGGCTGCCCCAAGGCCCAGTGCTGTGACCTACCTGAAAGTCTTGCTCCATTCTAGTAATTCTGGTTCCAGCTTTTCAACTGGAAAGAGGATTCTCTGCTAGAGGAAAAAATGTTCCTGCTGTGCAGGCTTATTTTCTTTATATTTGAATGTCAAAAAAGCTGACATAATAAAAAGAACATATTTGTCAAATTATTGTGGTAATTATTTTTATCCTTATCAATACTCCATATTGTGATGAATATGTTGGCTTTATTTTGGTGGAAGGGACATGACACTGAACCTTCTGAGCCAGGATTACTCTGGGCCTTTTTATGAGATTGAGTTTCTGCTATGATAGGTTAAGGGAGAGCTCTCGGTATAGGGTTTAGTCTTTATCATGAACCACGCTGTATGGGCAGAGGTTTGGCTCTGGAAGCTTGAACATTAGGCAGGAGTGCAATCCTCCTCCCCATTCAAAAGGTCAAAGTAGAGCAGATTCTTGTTCAGGATGCAGTGAGTGAGAGAAGGGAACGTGACAGAGAGCATCCTTTCACCATTTTGTGGCATGCACACATCCAAGTCTCTGGTGTTTTAAATAACTGAAACGGAGACCTAGATCCACTTATCTGTAGAGTAGAACTGTGGAGGAGGGAAGCATATCATCCCCACCACTGGAGAAATCCCTGAAGAGAGATTTGTGAGCCCCTAATTTACCAAAAATGACACAAAATTTCATCAAAATGAAGTGAAATTGTGGCTGTAGATAGGGCTTTATTTAGAGCTTCAACTCCACACCTACTTCCTAAGACATGGTCCTTCCCTAGGATACTATAGAATCACAGGGCTTAGAATTGAGGGGTAAGGCATGATGATGTTCTGTCTTTCTGGCAGATAGGATGTTTTGGATTGCATGTATTTTCCAAAGAGCACTGCAAAAATATCTTCCATCACACCTGGTTTTCTTTAGTCTGACCCACCACTCCCTCATCAGTAGGTAAGGTCTCTCCACCCTCTGAAACATAAGCAGATCCGGTATATTAGCCCATAAAATGTGGCAGAAGCGTGGTTGTGTCAGTTCTGCAAACTGCTATTAACCATCCTTCCTGCATCTTATTCCTTCCACTTCAATCCATAAACCATGTAAAACTCCCAGGCCATCATATGAGCCCAGCCAACACATAGAACCCTTTGAGATATCATAAAAAAATTCTTGGTTACTATTTTCATGAATATCCTTTTCTATCCACTTTCAACTTGTGTGTTTCCTTAGGTCCAAAATGAGGATCTTGTAGCCACCATATGATAAGATTCTTTTTATTCTATTCATTGTGATAATCTTTGAGTTCTGACTGGGGAGTTAAATCCATTTACATTTAAAGTAATTACTGATAAGGCAGGACTTACTTCTGTAATTGTGATGTTGCTTTTATATGTGCCTTATAGCTCTTTTGTCCCTCATTTCCTTTATTCCAACCTTCCTTTATGGTTATTTTTTCTTTATTTTTTCTTTTCGGGGGGTGGTAAAGAAACTTTTAATGAGGATTCAAGGTTTGTAAGGAAGACACAGAGGGCCGGCGCTCAGCCCCAGCCTCCTAACATGTACATCGCTCCCTGAAGGTTCTCCAGTCGATGCTGCTGCTGCTGTTTTTGAGCGTTATCTCATCTCTGCTCATCTTCAGTGTCATCATCAATGAGCAGCTCATGGTGGCACTGGGGACAGGAATTTGTCTTGCTTAGCCAGGGCAGAATGCAACTGGAATGGAAGAGGTGATGGCAAGTCATCTCAATGGCAATCTCCTCTTCCTCAAATTCCAAAAGACACATGGGGCACTTGAGCTTAGCCTGAGAGCCTCTGATGACTATCCTGGGGAGGTTCTCAACAACAGTCTTGGCGGCTGGTGGAGGCAGGTGGTGGTCCCAATCTACTACCAACCCCAAGTCTTCAAAGTCCATCCTATTGAAAAGTGACCTTGCGGGCTGGAGTCCACATGGAGCCAGCATGTTGGTTAGAGTCTCCTGCTCAGGGTCCAATGACTTGCAGTCGTGTTTACTGGCCATCTGACACAGCTCTTGGATCCTGTGGTTTTTTTCTAGTGACATGTTTTAACTGCATTCTCATTTTTCTTGTGTGTATATTTTATGCATATTTTGCTTGAGATTCCTGTGGTATTACATGTAACAATATAGTTATAACAATCTTGAATTCAAACCAACTTCAATCACATATGGAAATTCTGTTTCTTTACGTCTTTTTCCACCCCTAATTTTACATTATTGATGTCACATATCAATATATGTGATAGGCTCAGCAGCCTGGCAGGCTGGAAAGTCACAATTTTGTAGTCATCAGTCTAAAATTGGTAGACCAGGCTGGAAGACTGGTAACCTTAACTGTAATTGATACTGTCATCTTGAGGCAGAAGTTTTTCCTCTCTTGGAAGCCTCATAGTTTGCCCAAAGGCCTTCAACTTATTCAAAGAGTCTCATCCACATTCTTGAGGGTAATTTCATTTTCATAAAATCAACTGAGGCTAAGTGCTGTGGCTCACACCTGTAATCCCAGAACCTTGGGAGGCTGAGGCAGGTGGGTCACCTGAGGTCAGGAGTTTGAGACCAGTCTGACTAACGTGGTGAAGCTCCATCTCTACTAAAAATACGAAATAATCTGAGTGTGGTTTTGGTGCATGCCTGTAATCCTAGCTATTTGGGAGGTTGAGGCAGGAGAATTGGTTGAGCCTGGGAGGTGGAGGTTGCAGTGAACCGAGATTGTGTCATTGCACTCCAGCCTGGGTAACAGAGTGACACTCTGTCTCAGGAAAAAAAAAATCACTTAATATCAGATTTTAACCACAACTGCCAAATATTATCATAGCAACATATACATTTAGTGTTTGATTAAATAACTAGGTTCTATGGTTTAGTCAAATTAACCCACAAGACCAACCATTCCAGCCCATGCTTGTGAACTTGGCCCCATAAATCTTTTCTGAAACCATACTTAGTCTCCAAATAAAAACAATTATAAAGTCATACTTTTGCCAATGATAATACAACTATCTTACATCCAACTAAAAACACACTAACCCTTTCCCCAGAAAAAGATTCAGACTGAATGCATGATACTCACTCTTCTCTTTGATATACTGTAACCTAAATATCATGTTTAATAAAAGTTAAACCATCATAAATAAAAGGGAACTATTATTAACACATCTTATGTTTTATTATAAGATAATAAGAAAAAGATGAAAGCAAAGCTATGTGCTTAATACATGTATGGATATATATATACACAGACATAAATATCTATAAAAAATAAGGAAGTAATAGAACACTTACCATCTCTATTTCTGTAACTGGTTACACGGTTACAGCTGGTTATTTATTTAGTTACTTATTTATTTGAGACAGGGTCTTATTCTGTTGGCCCAGGCTGGAGTGCAGTGGCATTACCTTCGCTCACTGCAACCTCCACCTCCTGGGAACAAGTGATCCTCCTACCTCAATCTCCTAAGTAGCTGGGACTACAAGCACACCACCAAGCCTGACTAACTTTTTGTATTTATTTCAGTAGAGATGGAGTTTCAGCATGATGCCCAGGTTGGTCTCACATTCCTAGACTCAAGCAATCCACCTTCCTCAGCCTCCAAAGTGCTGGGATCACAGGCATGTGCCACCATGCTGGCCACAACCAGTATTTATAAATAGCTTTTTGCACTAACCATACCATATTTACATTACTTTCAGCAAGTCCCTCAGCTGATCAGATTTCTTTTTCTGCTTAGGTGACTCCAACATTCATTCCTGAAGGGTATGGGTCATTAGTAGTCCTGCCTGACTTGGGCTGTTATAGTTTTTGACTTAATTATAGGACAGAGTATGACTAAGACATGCTCTAACACCTCTCCTGTGTTCCAAACTGCCTTATTTGCTACCAGTGCATAGTAGCAGACCAATTTCCCCCTGATGACCAGGACCAATCACCCCAGACAGTGCAGTCACCCTTTCCTTTGTCGATTCAGAAGCATGAGGAGCTGAAGGGGTTGGGTGGCTGTCTTAGCTTCCAGCTCAGTGGAATCATTTCTGTGTCTCCTGAGGGGGCATTCCTCCCTTGGAAAACCTCTAGACCCTCAGGACATAAGGTTGTGGGGACAGGAAGCAAAGATGTTGCAAGTGGATCTCCATGGGTAATAGTGAATTGTGCAACTCCCATTTCTATTTGGTAATTTCTGGACACACGGATCTTGGCTATGGGATAAACAGCACCGTATGATGGATGCTGACTCAGAGCATATGCAACTTCTGGAGAAAGTTGTATAAACACCCACAAGTTATTATTAATAACCTGACTGACACTGTAACCGCATGCTCAAAAGGCCATACTGCCCTTCTGTAAAACCAGCTGCTTCAGGATGATGGAGAACACAGTAAGACCTGTGAATTTCATGGGCCCATTGTGGCACTTAATTTTCTGTGAAGTGAGTTGCTTAATCCCAAGCAGCACTGTGCAGGATGCCGTGTAGTAGATACGGCATTCTAAAGTCCATGAGTATTGCTTTGGCAGAAGCACAACTTGCAGGGAAAATAAATTTGTATCCAGAGGAAACATCTGCTTCAGGAAGAACAAACCCCTGCTCTTTCCTCGAAGGTAATTGTTCAATGTAATCAACCTGCTCCAGTAGCTGGTTAATCACCTTCAGGAATGGCGTCATGTTGGAGACTCAGTGTAGGTTCTGCTAATGGCAAATTTGGTACATACCCAGCAGTGGTTGTAGCCAGGTGGGCTTTGGTGAGTAGAAATCTGTTACTGAGCCCACGCATGATCTCCACCTGCATCACCATGGCCATTTTGTTCATGAGTCCACTAAGCGAAGAGGATGACAGGTATACAAACAATGAGTCATCCTATCCACTTTATCAAAACGTCTCCTGCGGAGGTCACCTTTCGTAATTAGTCACATGAGAGACAGATATCTGCACATTTTTTGCACATTTAGAAAGGTCTATCGACATACCTTATCCCCAGAACCTCTTACCAACAATTTTCCAATCATGTTCTTTAAAATTCTCTGACCATCCATCAAGCCATTGGCTACAGCCTGTGAACCCATATACAGTCACATCTGTGTTCATTTCTCTTTTCAGGCAAAATTAATCACCAGCTATGCTACTCAAATTTCTGTCTACTGGGAATATCTCCATTCAAAACAGTTCTTCAGGGATGTCCCTGAAGGGATGCCTGCATACCATACAGAACTATCTATACACAGATCTTAGTTTTCCCTTCCTGAGTCAACTAATAATAAGGAACTCTCCTATGAGGCCATAGGTACAGGCTAGGGGAGAAAGGTAATGTAGCAGAACTGGGAGCCATGAGCAATTGGGCCATTTCCTGGTGTCCTGTAATTGTGCCTTCAGGGCTTCCTTCAACCTGATCTCCTGTATACCAATTCCCTTAGCTGATGGAGTGCTGCTGTGCACACTCACATTATGGCTTGTGGGTCAGACAGCACCCAATTAATGATGGTAGCTCAGGTCACATGGCCATTTGGTGGCCCATAGTGACTCATTCAGTCTCTACTAAGGCCCAGCTGCAAGCCAAAAGCTTTTCTCAAAAGGAGAGTTGTTATCCGCAGAGGGTGGCAGGGCTTTGCTCACGGCTCCCAGTCCTGCCACATCACCTTTTCTCTCCCAGCATGCATCTAAAATCATTCTCTGTGATTCACTTACAGGAGGCTGCCAAAGGCTCCAAGTAGGTCTCTGTCTGCTCTGTCAATTCAATCTCTGTTGGATCCATTGGATCATTTTATTCAAGTGGCAGAGCAACTTGCACAGCATCCTGGACCTGTTGCAGAGCCTTATGTTCTGGGCCCCACTCAAAACTAGCTGCTTTTCAGGTCAGATCCTTCAGTAAATGGGCTAGAGTATCACACCCAAATGAGGAACATGCTGCCTCCGAAATGACAGTGCACTGGGTGTTGGAGGAGCCAGGTGCAACACATTATCCGTCACCTTAGAAGGACCATCTTAACGTGCCCCCATCACTGGACCCCTAGAAATTTCACTGGTGGGGGTGGAAAACCTCTTGGTTTTCATCAAATAAATTTCCCATGCTCTGACACACAAATTTTTTTAATAAGTCTAAAGTAATTTTTTCTTGTTGTTTACTAGATCTAGTCAACATAACATCATCCAAGGAATGGGTCAGGGCAGTGTCCTGTGGATGGGAAAGGTAATCAAGTTTCTTAAAGACTAAATTTTAATATAGGCCTGCAGAACTGCTAATTCCCTGCAGTAGGAAAGTGTACGTGTATTACTGATCTTGGTAGTTGAAAGTAAACTTTCTTGTGCTCTTTAGCAGTGGATCTGGAGAAAAAAGCAGTTGCCATATCAGTAGCTGCATACCAGGTAACAGGAGATGTCTTAATTTGTTCAAATAATAAAACCACATCTGGAACAGCAGCTGTAATTAAGGTCACAATCTAGTTAAATTTACAGTTATCAATCAACATCTTTAAAATTCATGTGTTTTCCACACTGATCAAATAAACAAGTTGAGTGGGCATCTGATGGGAATTGTTTTGCCAGCATAGTTTAACCTTTTGATGATGGCACTAATCCCTGTACTCCCTCCAGAAATGCAGTATTCTGTGTGGTTTACTATTTTTCTAAATAGAATCAGTTCTATTGGAATCCACTTCTTGATTTTTGCCTTCTCTCATGGGGAGAAATGATAGGTGCAAGTAAATACAGCACTTTCAACTGAAACTTCCAGGTACTTGCATTGTGATTCATCAAGGAAACAATTCAACCCATGGAGCTTTAGATACTCCAGGTTCCTGGCTTCCTGGCAAAAGTAACTGCAGCTCTGGCAAAGTGGGAGGTTAGATCTCCATACATACCCCCAGGGAAGAGACTGAATCCACAGGGCCAAACAGTGATCATCTGCAGGCCTCACTTCCATACGGCTTCACAGATTGAGATTATTTTGGCTTGGAATTCCAGCCACCTGCAGCAGTGTTGCACATACCTAGGACAGAGCTCCTCAGGGTTGGGTG